AAAGATCAATGGAAAATATGAATGTATACCCAGCTGACAGCAGACTGTATGTCTTTAAGAGGTACCAGTAGCACAGGCAACATCTGTGCCACTTCTCCATGGGATGACTTGCATGGCTGAAATATGAAGGAGCAGCTGTCCATGACATTGATGTCAGTCTGATTGGGTATCTGGCTAATCTCTGGACATGTGAAAAAAATTTTTCAAGTTAGTACAGTCAGTCACCAGCCATAAAGAGAAATTTCATCCCTGATTGTTTATTGCTTTTCTGACTGGTTCCTCATTGCAAGTAATCAGCTTTCCACTCCCTGAGAATTACTACCAAACACTACAGCTACACTGAAAAAAAAATAATAAAAAAAAAAAAAAAGAAATTGTATGTTTTGAACCTTCTTCTGGGGAAAGATGATGAACTTCTTCAGTGGAAGGCCAGCGATCTGATGTTGACAAACTCTGCTGGGTCTCCAATAAATAAAAAAGGAGGGTATGCATAACTTCTGGTATTCACACAGGCTGAGTACACAGCAGGAAGAGAAGAGGTGGCCTAATGGATGGTAACACTCTCTGTGTGACCTTGCCAGTCCTCTGGGATAGTTTTCAATGCCTCAATACTTCCTATTGCACCTCAAGTCTATTTCCACAGCGCAAAAGGCATTCAGATGGAAGCCAGTAGATTGTATGCTGTGCCAGCAGGGCATTTAAATTCCTCTATCTCTTAGAGGTACTTTCATCAAACAAACAAAATTTTCATCAAACACTGAGGTCTCTTGTTCTTTGCAGAGACTGCCTCAGCTGTGACAGTCTTCTCGCAGACTTTTGCCACAAACCTGCTGGGCAGCAGGAGACATTGCTGCCCCCTCTGGAGGTGCTAGCTAGTAAGATCCACGAAACGGGAGATGAACTGCTGTCTGTCACTGCCCCTCTGGCAGCCCTGTCCTCCTAAATGGAGAGTAGTCCCCTCCAAGCAAGAACTCCCACCGGCACACTGGAGATGCAGCTTTGAAATTTCTGTGTCTGGTTTATAGCTTCTATTCACTTCATTTTCACTGCATGGTATTGCAGTGATGTCTGTCTTTCTTCATGCCCCATGCCCTTCCTGACACAAACATGCCTCTCTAGAGTGTAGATTTATCTAAAATCTCTGATAGCTGTATGCCACAAAGCAGGGCATGTCTGAGTCAACCCTAGCAGTCTATCACTGCTAGGAAATTCTGGGTAGTAAGTAGTGCACCAGGAGTTGGGGCATGGCATGTTATCCATCCCAGCTATTTGCTTGGAGGAATTCAGCTCCATGGAGTCACAATCTAGTTCATTGTCTGCTGTTGGAGCAATGAGGAATTCTGGCAAGCCACCATGGAGACAGAAGGTTTTAACGTCTGATGGCCCAGAAAAAGTTCAATCCTCCCTCATTCTACACGTATTATAATTTTCTATTCCTGTTTTCTTATTAAATACAAACTACTCTGTGTGATTGCTTACGTATTAATGGAGAGTATAAAATATGCCTGAGTTAAGGGCTGTGGGAGAAATCTTGTAACAACATTGCACAAGTGATAATTTTTTTCTTCACTAAAAATAGTGAATCTAAATTCTTTATGTCAAGGGATATTTAAGTTGGCTCCCTGGAAGGATTTATTTATTTTTATTGGTATCCTAGAACATTTTGCACTAGAGGGACCCTTGTGGTCAGCATATTGGTGTTGCCCAACAGTGTTTTCATTTCTGTTTTATCTGCTGTCAGGCTGCTTTGCTGCCAGTCTACTGGCTAGATGCTTTCAGAATTGTTGCAATAGGTGCTTATTGATTGAAGTTCATTTAAAAATCAGTTGGTAATTCCATTACTGCAGTCTTTTATCTGTGAAGTCAGAGTGTCACCAAGCAGCTATCAACTCACTGATGAGGAGGTTTGACTTGGACCATCCTACTCCATGTTATCAGGTGAAAACACAGCGGCAATATAGCTGCCTTGGTGCTTCTTGTCATCCTCTTTCCTAGGGTTGTGTTGCCTGGTCTGGCTAAGGGCAGTAAAGCTGCTTCAGTGAATACAGATTAGGATTTTGGATGAAAATATGCGAAGGGATGGCACAGGTACTATCCCTTTACTTCATATGTGTCTCTCTATCCCATGTATACAGTGCAATGGTGCAATACAGTTATCCTTTACAAGTCAGAGAGCCAAATGCTCTGGATGAACAACACTGTAAATTACCATACATGACCTATAGTCACCACCCAATCTCAAAATGCAAATTCTGCTGAACTTTTGGTATCCCATAGACATCCAAACTTGATCAGCAAGGATATTGAAGGTGTTCCTTCAATTACAGGATAGACATATACAGACATATTGCAAGTTAACTATTAGCAGCTAACCTAGAAGTCTTAATATTTTGAGTTTCTTAAGGTTAAAGAAAGTTTTCAGGACCTCAGGAGAAAATGCTCACAGTCAGAAACTGGGGATAAGTCAGCCAGGTCACAGCCCCTGTTAGAATTAGCCCTGTCCAGTCCTGCAGTCTTGCACAGTCAAATACATAAGTACAAGTCACAAACATTTCAGCAACAAAGGTACTGCAAAACCAGGCACCTAGATTCAACTTCCACTCCTTTGTGTTGTTGTGTGTTGTGTCTGTTTCAAGATGTGCTAGAAAAAGTGCTATGCAGCAGCTCTCTACCAACTCTTTACCAGAATTTACTCATCAAAATGGAGAAATTCTGGTTTCCAATATTTCTGTGCCTTAGTTTCTCACCTGTAAACAGAAAATTGTCTATGGTTGCTAGTTTTCAATAGCAGTTCAATAATTATACAGTGAAAGCAGTGTACAGTTCTCAAGTAGTTGATGTGGATATTAGATAAATGTGTACACAATGTTATAAATGTTTACACACACAAACACATAAACTCAAACATACAGAAAGGGAGATCTGCTGACAGGGAAAAAAAAAAAAAAGTCACTTCAAAACCACTTTAAAACCACCTTTTTGTTTCAATCAGAGATAACCTGAATGTACTCTGTTCCACAGCAATAATGAAACATCTTTTCAGCATGCCCAACAGGGCATACATTTTTGGACATGAAGTCACAATGAGCTGTGCCAGCAGCAAGGCAGTCTATTGAAGGAATCAGAATGTAAAAGCATTGGTGGTGACCCTGGAAAGAAGAGTACTTACCACTGTAAGCAAGCCAACAAAAATATTCTGCCCAATAACATATACAGTAAGTAAAATTGTACCAAGCAGAATGAATGTTTAAACCACACAAAGTTGCATTCTATTGACTAGTAACAAAGGTATTAAGCAAAGCGTACCTGCATAAATGTGAACCCAGCATGATGATCACAATGAATACGAGGGAATCGTGCACATACAAAGGAAAGGCTTTCATAAGCATAATAGATAGGGTTGATATATAGTATGTTATTGTTTATGCTTTTTGTTTGTTTGTTTGTTTGTTTTTGATTGCATCCTTGCAAGTCCTTTACAGGAACCTCTTTCTGCAAAGAATTTATCTTTCCCATGTATCTGAAAATATCATCTAGAGTCTGGGAGTCTGAAGCTGCATCCCGGAGAGCAGTCAACTTCCTCGTTTTTAAAAGCAAAGTCTGCAGCTTTTTGTCCAAAACATATTCCTCAATACCAGTAGGAGCTAGGTGAGAAACTATAGTATCCTCTGCCAAGTTAATCAGTTCAGACCTTTCTAGAGAAAGATCTATCAGCTACTTTGAAAGTTACAAGAGAACAAACATCACTTAAAAGGCATTTCCATAAGCCGACCTCCCATTGTTTTGCTACTAGTGTCATAAACACAAGTTCATTTCCTCTTTTGGGTGCCAGATACGCAGAACAAGATGTTTTTCATCTTCTATGCAGGAGCTCTCAGGTGACTCCCAAAAGGCCAGCCCCACCACTTTCTTGATAACTGAAGGGGCATGGTATGCTGCTGTAGGCTCTGCTGTTCCTCACATAAATGTCTCAAAGGCAGCAGTTCTTCTCCCTAACTGACCTGTTAACCTAATTTGTTGAACATACATCATTGAAGAGTATTTGCATCACCTGGTTGCCAGCAAGGTAAAGTGAGTCAGGCAAGAAGGAAGAAAATATGCTTGAATGCTGGATACTGCCAAATAGCAAGTTAAAGTTTTCACTGGTGAAAGTATGTCACAGCTGTCATTTTAAGGGGTCTGACAGAGGTCAGGACTGAGCTGTGACCTGGGCAGCAGCACTGAGGAGGATATGGCAGAACATACTTTGTAAATGTTCCCTTTCCTTGCTCCATCAGTTACTGACAAAGTCACCAACTCTTAAGGATGGCATTTGGCTTATAGTAAGGATTTAGGATCTGCAGCCTCCTAAGAACAAGCCATGTCCACAGCACCAGTGCTTGACACTAGCTGATATTTTGAGTGTGAAGCTTTATTTTGCATTCAGATACAACTTTCAGTGCTCACAACTAATGCATGGCCTAGAAAGTTAAACCACTTTCTAGATTCCCTGCTGTTTTAAAATTCTATTAGTAAGGAGAGAAATAGCTCAAGAGTAGTTTGGGGGTTAGCAAGTCCATGCTCTTTTGAACTAAGAAAATGGAAGAATCTCCTCCATTCTGCCTTTTACCAGGAGAGTCTTTTCAAAGACCCTACAAGGCATTTTAGTGGCTTCTAATGAATGCTGACTGTTGAAGTCCAGCATCAATAACAGGAAATAGCAGGAAACACAAGCAACAAGTCAGCAGTACCACCTAACCACATTTTGATAGCACATGCAGGAATAAAGGCCTCATCCTTAATTAGATCATGAAGAGCTAAATCGTTACCTTCACCTGATTTTTTTTCGTGTTTAACATCGTAAGTCTCACCCTTGGATTCATTTAGACACACTGATTCATTAGGCGGCCCATGACCTTAATAAATTTACATTACCAGGAAGGGGTAGTTTATACCAGTCTCTTAGTCATAGAAATGACTCATGATATCCACCCACACTAACCTTTGTTCAGTCTCTACAAGTATGCCAGGGCTTGTCAGCCTTTCACAAATGGAGTTCTTTGATTCCCTCAGTAAGAGAAGGACATCAAGGAAGTCTGGTTGCAAGAACAAGCTGCCTATGGAAGACACAAAACAATAACAGTGACCTTGAGAAGCTGAGGACTTGTTTTCTCCAAGTGCATGATGTACTGCTGGAGGGAAATGTCTCACATGACCTGAAGTGAGGTAAGAGTGCAGGATGGGGGAGCAGAGCTTGTTCTCTGCTTACAGGCTGCCAGACAGCCTCTTTGGGAAAATACTCCTAGAGCAGTTTCAACACACAGCGAGCAGCAGGGAGGACATAGGGATTTTGTTCTTGATATGAACATTTGGCCACATTCAAAGAGGAACAAAGGTGTTGAAGCAAATATAAAAAGAAGAAGATGAATGCTAAATGCAACCTCCTATATGTTTGCTTTCCTGCCTACCCTAGGGATTCTTAGTATGGTTTCAAGGCCACAGCAAGAGTTATTTCAAACTTCTTTTGTAACTATTTCTGGAGAAAAATACTTAAGAGAGACATAAGAAGCTGTTCTAGTAGCACTTTGCTTTGGGCAGAAGAACAAAAACCACCTAGACCAACCATGAGTCGAATCTCACAGAGCCTTGAAAACTGTAGCTTGACAGCCTTTCCAGATGAGCATGAAAGGCCCTGAAGGACATCCCAAATTCCAGTGCAGACCACAGGACACACTGGAGCCCTGCAGTATTACTATGGAGAATGAGGTCATCACAAATAAGGTGCTCCAAGGTGCTCCATGCACAATAGCTAGTTTCATAAAGGAACTTCCTCTTCTTTTTGTATGTTCCTATGTCCTGCTTCAGAAAATTTGTTAAATCCACTTTTAGCATCTCTGAATGGAACCTTGGCAAAAAGTTTGCCTGTTAAAAGAGTTTGTCTCAGCATATTACTCATTGTCATGCTTTATCATATATATCCCAACCCACCAAGCAGCCAAGCCATCACAATGAGTTTAATTTTCAGGTAGGTCACAAGAGATTATGGGACTGGCCAGCTTGCATAACTTCACAAAATCTACAGTAAGAGAATGAGGGGTGGGAGTGTTTGCTATTGTTCTGGGGCAAGCTGCTCCTGCATCTGAGGACTTCATTGACTTGTAGTGATTTGAGCAAATGCTTTATCCTGGCAGTTAAAGAAACTTTTCAAATCAATTTGTGGGACACTTATTTTATGCAGATTTGAGTGTTACAGGAAGACTTCAGACAGATTTAGAATATTTGCTGATGGTCACTGTTGCAGTTGAACCCCCCCAAACCCTTCCATATTTCTGAAAACACTGGAGAAGTTAGAATCTGAGCAAGACAGCTGATAGATATTCACTGGCAAAATCTGCATATGAAAATATGCAAATATATTAATATTGTAATGTAATGTTTTTTTTCAATTAAATGATTCATGCTAAAAAGTATTTCTCATCAATTGGAAACAATATTCACTTCCTTTCAAATCAGAAGAAATTAAAATAAATATCATTCAGTTTTCCTGTTTATCTCCTCATCCAAGGAAGGGGGAGAGGAATGGAAAAAGTGAGAAAAAAATACACAAAAATTAACTATTTTCTTTTTGCAGCTCTATTTTGTTTTGAATCAAGAAATATTTTTTACTTCAAATCATTTCATTAAATGTATCAGAAAATTACATAAACTATTCTCAGAAAAATGAAAAGCTGCCAGTTTGATCAAAAATTTTGACAGGTAAGATTTTCTGTTATTTATATGTCTTCTGATCTTAATTTTGGAGACTTAACATACCTCAAATTAAGATCTTTGTTGGAAGATTGTCCAGTTATTCACTTGCACCTGAATCATTGTATCACAAACTTCAAACTCTTTCATGGACCCTGCAAGAAGAGCTTTTTCATTTCCAAAATAGGGCCCTTTTGCCCTAGTTGTCATGTAGCTCATGCTATGCTTGTACATTTTAAAGATCACTTTGCTCAAGACAAAATTACATGCTCGGGACGGCAACACTCATTCTGCCAGAGCAGACATTTCATCTCTTAGAAATGATAGTCTATTTCACTGCCCTGAATATCACACACCTTGACGCATACAGCAGAGACACAAGGCAGAATAACCCAGAATTCAGGAAAGCATCTCCTGAGAGGTGGAGTATGTATCAGATCGAGCTCTTTAGGAATATTACAGTATCTCTGCAACCTTAGTTAACTATGCAGGCTTTCTTAACTTGTTCATGTGCCTTTCCACAAATAGACTGATGTCAACTCAAAAAATTTATTGTTGCTCTGGAAATATATAGTGTTCTTCTGAAAGCTCTGACTTCTGACATAACAAGACCACTTGCAAATATCAACTGGAGAAGGAAGACAGGAGGGAAGGGAAGGGAAGGGAAGGGAAGGGAAGGGAAGGGAAGGGAAGGGAAGGGAAGGGAAGGGAAGGGAAGGGAAGGGAAGGGAAGGGAAGGGAAGGGAAGGGAAGGGAAGGAAGGGAAGGGAAGGGAAGGGAAGGGAAGGAAGGAAGGGAAGGGAAGGGAAGGGAAGGGAAGGGAAGGGAAGGGAAGGGAAGGGAAGGGAGGAAGGGAAGGGAAGGAAGGGAAGGGAAGGGAAGGGAAGGGAAGGGAAGGGAAGGGGCACTTTGCACCAAGCTAGAATTCCACCTACATGCAGGTCCCTAGGCAGGCTTTCCTTAGACCTTCTGAAACACTTTTCAGAAGCATTTAACTTTCTCTGTCACTAGGGGCTGAAAAACAGAGAAGGGAATTCATGGCACATAGAGTTGGCCCCATGTTTCAGGCTTACTTGTTAAACTGCTGTAGAGGCACCATCCTAATGTTTTCCACACATACATGCAAACACGCCTTCACACACCCACAAAAACAGTGCAAATGATGTTGAAGGCAGTCACAGAATGGAGATTATGTCTTTTTTTTTTTTTTTTTTTTGAGAAGAATGAGCTTGAAGAAGGGATTTACGAAGAACTGGAGCTAGCAAAATTCATGCTTTCCTAAAAGCTTGCAGACTAGCTTGTCTAACACATATCTGGTCATTGCCTTGACATTAGACTTAGATTAGATCCTAAAGATGGTCTTAAAAGAACAAGGACATTATATATGAAAGGGAAGTGATAATGTGATGCCCTCTTAGGGATCAAAACTGATAAGCTAAGCATAAGTTGGACATTAGCAGAAAACGATATTTAAAGCAGAACTTCCACAGAATTTAAACTTCTGGTTTAAAAGAACAGTGCAATTAAAAAAAAAAGTAAAGAAAACACATTTGAACTGGAGATGAGAGATAAGGTACAGAAAGATCTCATGAAATTATTAAGTAACAGACAAGGAACAAAGAGACAAAAACAAACTAGTCAGAGACAGACCCATAGTAATTACCAAATCAAGCATGTGGCCTTTAGAATGAGTGGGATCATTCATGTGTTACACAAGATTAAATGAATCTAAGGGTGCTATAAAACCATGCACTGCAAGTGAAAGAATTCAGAGTAAGACAAAATTCAAATTCACAAACAGATGCTCACTGAAATTTATTGTGAGTTCAGAGAGTGGCTCTGCTAAATCATTAAATAAAGACTTGGAATTCCTCAGTGCACAATTTAAAGCAATGCAGAAGGAAGAGATACAATAAACCAAAATAAATTGGAAGAGAATACACAAAACTCAGCTTGGTTCTGGGGCTAGACAGAGGTACCAGTTTGAATCTTCTCAGAGTCCCTGGATGTTTGCATGTATTTGCAGAATAATAGGAAATCCAAGGAACAAAGAGCAAGGGTAGGAGGGGGAAGGAACATAGTGCCACAAAAGGCGGAAAGAAGCAGGATGAAGAAGGAAGAAGAATATCACAAGGGGACAATGAAGAAAACAAGAAAGGACTGATATTTGGTAGAAGCAGGCAACCATCACCATAGCAAGCACGAGTGACATCTCCTCCTGTTGGCACATCACCTCCCCGTGATCCATTCATGCTCCCCGCAGACCTTTGTCTCCATCACGACAAGTGACTGCTGTGACCAGTAATGTATCACTTCAGCCCCTGGTTCCCAAAACCAACCCTCTCATTGAACTCTCAAGTTAAACAGTGTCTCCAACTATTTGCATATGTGTGCAGTGTCAGAAGGGCTGTTATGATCTGCACGTTAGTGTGTGTGCAGGAATGCATGTATCAGGCTGTCATGCTGCAATTTTCCACCTCCTTACATTCTGCTGATTCCCTGCAAAACCTGCCGACCTCCTGGGACTCTGCACACACCTTCAGTAGTTCTTCATCAGTTAAAGTTTCAAAAAAGATGTATATTTCACCGGGGAGAGCACAGCCAACAGAAATTTGCTTCACAGCACAACCATGTGCATAAACTGGATGCAGACAATTCTTCCCAATAAAATGAAAGCATTTCAAGTTCTGATGACAGAGGAGTAAACAGCATGTCAGTGAGATGTTGTCACTCTTCTGCCACCGTCTAATCAAGGTCACGGAGACAAATCCTTTAGTTTATTAATGCTCTTCTCAGTGTACCATATAAGATCCAGCCAGTGATTCCTGGATAATGTTACGCAGCACACAGGACTCCTCTGTGCCTTGTGCCTTAAAGTAGCAGCATTTAGTACATGGCTGGCATGCATAGCTGCAGGAAGAATGCTGATCCAAATCCCTTGTGTTCACCCCAAGTTTACTTTATTCCACATACCCTGAATTGTCAGTTCTTGCCAACGGTACATAAAAAAAAAAAAAAAAAAAAAAAAAAGGAAAAATGCACACATGGCCAATTTTTAAATCCCAATTTTGCTTTCACCAACCAATATTTCCACAAAACATAATTTTATGTTGGGATGAGTAAAAAGATACCTACTATTTGGACATCTCAGTGAAGAATCAAATTTAGTAGGGCAGAACCTAATTTCAGGTGACCTGAAATTAAGTCTTTTTAACCTGTGAAATTCTATGATTCTTCATGTCTGCTTGTTGATGCTTATCTTCTTTCCTTGTTGAGGTAGCAAAAAGAATGTGTTATTTGTGTCCACTACTGAAAAACAAATTTCTGGTTGTATACCTGTCTTGCAAGGTTAATTATGAAAAAGAAAAAAGAAAAAAAAAAAAAAGAAAAAAAAAAAAAGAAAAAAAAAGTGAAACTAAACACTTTGATTTATCTAAGTCTGAAAAAAACAATGAAAAGATTTAATTTACTCATACACCACCATCACACTACTTGTATCAGGAAATATTGTGATGAAAACATTCAGCTTTTAGATCTATTATCTTCCATGTGCTTATTTAAAAAATAATTCAATGTATAGCATAGAGAAATTAAAAGATCCTAATCTCAACAGTCCTTTCTCCTGTTAAAGTATTTCAAGACCTTCCCTGCAAACTTCTAATTTTAAACTTAATTTATCCTACAGGGTTAATAACTAGTTAAACAGTTAACTGTCTATATAAATACTGCACAGCTTAAGTTCAGATGCCTACAAAGGGAAGGTAGAGACGTTCTCAGTGTCAATAGGCCATGACTTCCACAAAGCCAGTGCACAGTGGCTGAGAGAGTGACCACCCACAGTGACACATTTTTATACCGAAGATGCAAGGAGGCCTACACCAGTGACCTTTCCTGGAGACCAGGAGAATAAGGCTCAGTAATTCAGGATTTAGCCATTCAGAGAAGTTTTTCGGTCCCAGTTAATAAAGGGCCTCACTAATCCAAAAGCTACAAACCTAACAAGATTCCTGATCCAGCAGCCACTGTGGTTCAGGGAGGAGTTGGGATTTTGCTTCATTTGATGAGGAATTTATGCTGTTTTCGGCACTGTTTGCAAAAGCCCTTGGATACAGACGCTGTGCTCCTGCAGCCTTCAGCACAGCACACCCTGCAGACACAGCCCACTCTGGGGTGCACAGAAGTCACACAGTCTCCCAGCAGCTCGTCCATGTTAAGAACAATGGCCAAGGGAAAAAAAAAAAAATCATAAATTTTTTCACCTGGCCAACACTCTTATTCTCCACTTGTGACTGAAGCATACGTGTATGCTATAGCCTACTGGCAGCAGCAAGCACATTTTCATACACATCCCTTCTGCAGGAAGAATTATTGCCAAAAATATAACACGTTATGCAAACAACTTAGTCACCCAAAGAGCTTTGTAAATGCGTAATAAGAAGATAACACTGAGCAATAAAATATACTTTGCTGAAGTAACATGGAAACATATGGCCTTCCATTCTGCCTTTAGAACAGCAACATAACCAGCCTAGTGAACCAGGTCACCCAGCCCTACAGCCCTTCACATTTTTGCATAAGAATTTCACACAAGTATACTATCTAAACCATTTCCTAAGGACATCTTCTATTACTGAAGTCACCCAGCCAGAAAGCACAATAATGCACACAGTTTCTTTTGGAAGGGGGGCAGTGGGGGAGAACAGTGTAAAGCAGAGGAGGTTTTCAAATCTTTTGTGGAAACGGGAAAACATTCAGTAAGTACGTAGCTTGGAGAAATAATAGCATTGCAATTCTGGGCTTTTGGGAGAGCCTTCAAGCCAAGTGCTTCGTAATCTACTGAAGAACTGCACTGGTTGCCAAAAGGTTCAGTATATACATATACGTATGTGCATACGTATGTAATGCATCTGTCTGTGTGTGTATACATGTATAAAAATCAAATCAAATCAAATCAAATCCTGCTCTTTATATGAGGAGTTAGCCTGTCTAGACTGTGGAACAGGCCTACATTCCTTCAAGGCTTAATTCAAGATAGTATCCACAGTTATAAAGCAATAAGGAGACCCAAGTACCAGGATTATTTGAGCAATCAGGTATGACACAGTCATGGTTATTTAGAAGTAATCACACTCCTAGCAATTTACAGATATTACCCCCTCCTCTTTCCACTGGTATAGGCATAATAGTGATCTGTGTCTTTTGAGTGAGTGAGTGAGCAGGCACATGCCTTTTTCTGCATCTCTTGCCTGCTCACCCTTGGTTGAAAAGAGGATAAGAGAGTGGGTGCTGACCTGCAATTTCAGACCAACAATGTTCTTTTACACCCTTACACCATCTACATTTTTCAATGGCCCATTAAAATGTCTCTCATTTTAAGCAATTTAATGAAATAACAAATAGAAAATCTGAGAGGAAAATAGGGGGAAAATCAGCTTCAGCTGAAGAAAGTGAGGACAGAACCAAAAACCCTCAGAGGACACAATTACAGTTAAATAGGACAAAATGAAATACAGTGATGTCAAATTAAGCTCCCAGACTTTGCATGAATCACTTATGTAATCAGGAAGGAACCAAGAGAGGAACCGGTGGCCTTGCAGACAATGCCACCAGTGAATGTGGGAGAAAGTCAGTGAGTGTGAGGGCATGTGTGTTTGTGTGCCTGTGTTTGTGTGCTTGAGCACACAAATGAAAAACTAGAGTGACAGCTAAAAATGCCAACGGCAATCCAGGAAGACAAAAGGGGAATAAGCGAATGGAATAGAAATAACAGAAAACTCAATCAGCAGTGATGTGTTGAGAAACAGAAACAACTGGAGAGTTTTCAACTGGATGAAACAGAAGAGGAAGCAGGGTGAGAACTGAAAGTGCAGAAGCTAGGAAACAGAAAATAAGTATTATTCAGAAGAGCATTACCAGCCATCTACAATTTATGTTCTTCAAATGGCCACCACCCTTCCAGAGATAAACCCAGCTATAATGACTCTTGTTTATAAAATACTTATTTCCTTCTTCCTGATTCCCAAGATTACTTCCTTGCTCTCTCACAAATATGCATGTTAAGGGAGCTTCCTGGAGTATTTTTCCTGATTCAAGGGAACATCTTATAACCAGAAACAGACTGAAGACAGGGAAAAATTTAAACTGGGAGAACATCATTTTACATAATCATAATGTAAGTAGATCTAAATTGAAATTACATTTGACCTGAATCACAAGTATAAGCTGCACAGTCATTGCCTCCTGTGTGAAGGAAATGAGGAAGACCAGACTGATTTATTTAAGTCCACCCTTAGAAAGCACCCTAAAATCTTATTTTCAGGCTGTAACTGAAACGCTTCCCAACTGAAACACCACCAGCAGCAGAAAACAAATAAATTAAAATATTCAAAACAATAAACAGTAAGAAAATTCAAAAGAAACCTATCCTCTAAGCAGATAAAACACTTTGGCTGGCTGTGACTTTTTTCAACTTTTGATTTCAAAACCATGAGTTTTTGATGTTTATCATAACATCCAAAATAGATAATGACACTGAAGACTTCATCTTAGTGCAAATGTAGAAGTTGAGTGAGATAGCCTCTTAATAAAAGGAGCCACATGATAAATACACCACTGTAGAAAACTTATAACAGCATTGAACAATTTACAGCAACTTGGCCTGATACCTTCAGGAACGACTACTTCTTCTAGAAAGGTAATACCCCAATAAAGGGTGACCAGAGATCTGAATAGAGATCCAAATGAACAGCATGATGGCTGCTTCTCCAGTTTCTCTGAAGAACAGCTGGTGAATATGAAATGCTAGCTGCTTTGGATAGACATCAATGTGAAAAGGTTATCCTGGGCAGTGAGCTGGTGTTCAACCATTCTTAATTCTTTTTCTTTTTCCTATTTCTTCTCTCATGCACTCAAAAACAAATGACAATATTTGGGTATCTGACTGGGTATCTGAAAGGGTTAAAAGGGCTGTTGGCAGCAGGAGGGAGATGCATAACCACATCTGTTGAAAGCAGATGAATCCCATTCCCATCCATCAGTGCAAACTCTGACTTTGGTCCTGCAGATGGAAGTGCTCTGGTTTGTTAGAAGAAAATTTAGAAGTAGGGAAAAGAGGCATATAAGTAGCCAGAATGAGTGCTCTATCTGATATGAGCAGTTAGGAGGAGGGATGACAGTGAAAGGAGGTAATATATGCGTCTTCCACAGCACTCCATCGCTTGTTATTGGAAACCTTGTTAGCAGATGAAAGTGACAGGTGAGGTTCAGTGCTGTAAAAAAACAGCACATACATGGCATGATGACTGCAAGGCAGGGGAACAGAGCAATCTGTGAACAGGCTTGGAAGCCGCAAATAAAACAGGTACTGTTTTGTTCCTAAAATCTGAAGACAAGCAGAAACATAGAAACTGCCAGACCAGGAGGAACAAAAAAGAGAAAGGAAAAAATATAAATTTAAGTCCACAGCCTGTACCATCGATAGGTATTCAACAGCAACAACAAAAAGAAGTCTAACATGTCACCATCCCCTGTTTACATTTCTTCACTTACATTCATAGTAAGAGATCTTTCCTATTAATAAAGTGCCTCCTAGACTGCCCAGTGACTAGCCATTCAATTTCTAATATCACTGTGATTTTAATCTTGGCAGCATAGTGAAAATGGTCACAGTGGACTCCACTTCCAGAACATGAAGTGAGGGAGTAGAAATAGCTTCACCTCACCAATGACACTCATTTTTAAACTAGAAGCAAATTATCTCAGATTCAAGGAAATCCTAGAAATCCATGGTATGAAGGAATAATTCCAGAAAAAGGACCAGTGAATATCTGCTGTTATTATCTAGAGAACCTAGGTTCATCTGAATTGTTCCTATACAGAGGCATAATGTCACACTTCAGTGTCACCTCTTTGTATGCCTGTATGCCTTTATGTCTGAGACGCAGTAAGAAGAAAGCATAGCGTGCAAGACCAAAATTTACTCCTTTATTTTTACTCTTTTCAATTCTTAATCCTTTTTCAAACTTGAAAATTAATTTGCATAATTTCCTGCTTCAATGAGTTTTAAGGATTAATTATACCTTTGAAAAGGACAGGAGCAGTTTTGACACAAATGGGACAGTGGAAGGCAAGAGGGGAACCTGCAAATTCTGATCTCCTCCTACAACACAGATACAAACAGTACCCAGTGTAGAACAATGGGATGGCCTAAATCTACTTTATTTCATGTCCTGTCATCCTGGCCCCTACCTTCTGTAGATCTTAAAATTGAGCCACAGATACAGACAAGTGCCCTACCCTACCTTAACACTGGGCACACAGACTATTCTCATGTCAAAATCCCTCAAACATGTATAGAGGAAATGTAGCACCCTCACATTTTCTCACAGTCTATCTGTTCCACAGGCTTTT